TCTAAAGTTCTTTTCTATTTTCCACGTATCCCCATAACCTTTAGTTTACATTACAAACCACTAACGTACAACACTAAGAGTCAGTCACAAACTCAAGAATTCACCCTTTCAGCTAGACTGACTGGTCAGTAAGCCTCCCAAAATCGTCTACCCAGCTTGAAGATACAGATGCATGCCACCATGTCTGTCATTTACCTAGGAATGAGGAATTCAAACTCAGAGCTTCACACTGGTGCAATAGGCACGTTATACATTGGACCATTTCCTCAGCCACCCAACACTAGACTTAAATAGCATCTTAGTTATGGTTACTGTTGCTGTGATGAAACACCAAGACCAAAAGCAACTTGGGGGAGTAAGGGTTAAGGCTTCGACATCACTGTTATTCACTGAAGGAAGTCAGAACAGGAACTCAAGAAGAGCAGGAACCTGGAGGTGGGAGCTGACATAGAGGCCACGGAGGAGAGGAGTGCTGCTTGCTTGGTTCTCAGGCTTTATACTGCTTCCTTCTTATAGAACCTAGGACCACCAGCCCAGGGATGGCACCATCTATAATGGACTCAGCTCTCCCCTGTTGATCACTAATTAGGAAAAGGCCCTACCCAACATTACCCTCAAGCCCTCCTGTTACTCTCTCGCTTTCTGGCATCCCCTCCACAAAGCTCTTCTACAATGATGCCCTCCACTCACCACAGGCAGAAATAACACAGTCAAGCAACTGTGGATTGAAACCTCTAAAACTGTTAGTGGAAAACCTTTGTCTCTTGAATTGTTTCCCTCAGCTGCTTGTCACAAAACAGACTCTATATTTCCAATCATGGAAAAAAAGCCAGCTAAATTCCAGTAGAGGGCCGCTGAACCATAATGTCCTGACTATATCAAGCTGAATAAAATCAAGGAAAGAGCAAGAAACCATTATAGCCAGAAAGTCCAGGGAGATATGATTCTTAGATGTAAAATGACATTCTAAGCAACTGATAGGAAATAAGGCGAAACTAAGAAAATACAAATAAAATATCGCTGATAAGACAGATAGATAAGAAAAGAAAAGAAAAAACAGAAAATGTTCTACAGATTTGCCTATAGCCAGATGTTACAGAGGCATTTTCTCTACTGAGAATCCCTCCTCTCAGCTGACTATAGCTTAATATAAAACCAGTTAACATAAAACTAGATAGCAAAAATAGAAAATGTCTTTGGGATTTTAATTGATCAAACTAATGGTGACACACATTGTCTAATGGACTAAAGCAACATATCTTAACTTTTAAAAAAAATTACTAACTTTTCTGTAAGGGGCCTTAGAGATACTGTGTTTTCTTAGATTCTTTCCCTGTCTATTAACTTTTAATACTACACATATTCTATATATCTGATTTGTATTGTGTATCATAGCCCCTTGGAGGGTCACAAACTATTACAATATCTAACTTTTCCCCATATACAATTCCCCAGAAACAAGCTTTAATCTGCTTGAGGACTGTATTGCTTTTACTGAGAATGTATGAACTAATAATTTTTTATTCATGATTCTATTTAATCTTTACACTGCAATTACTAGCCACAGAATAGACCAAGATACGTACACGAAGAGTGAGTGTCCCGAGGCTGTTGTTATTGGGAGCTGTTGTGGACATATAGAAGATGAAGCCTCTGAGAGGTCCTGGAGACACTGCTGCATGCCCTTGACAATGACTGTTGGATCATAGTATCTTCTTATTTTTCTGCTTCTTGGTTCATGATGTGAAGTTTTTTCTAACACAAACTCTCTACCATTGCCATTCTACACCCTTACCAGAGGCCACGATCAATGGGACTGTTCACTCTTATAATGGAGTTTTCAGAGTAATGAGTTCAGGAAATTTGTTTTCTCTTTATAAATTGATTAGCCCTGGCACTTCAGAATGATAATTTAAAACAGATTAATACAGTGGTTGAATTATTTAATTTTAAGAATCTACCAGGTCTACACAAGGAATGACACTCAACAATCATGATTCTAGATGTAGAAGAAAAATCTGAATTAATAGAGAACCTTTTCTCAACCAGAAGAATTAATATAATTTATATGATCACAGTTGCTTTATCAGTCTGTCTGTCTGTCTCTGTCTCTCTGTCTCTGTCTCTNTCTGTATCTCCCCCCCCCTCTCTGTCTCTATCTCTCCCTCTGTCTCTGTCTCTATCTGTCTCTCTCTCTCTCTCTCTCTCTCTCTCTCTCTCTCTCTCTCTCCCCCTACCTACCTATCTGTCTATCCATCTATCCATTCACCCATCCATCTAGTGGTGAAACTTCATAGTCCAGGTTGGCCTTGAACTTATGAACCTCCTTCCTAAATACCCTGAGTTCTAGGAAGTACAGGCATGGGCCACTATGCCTTGCTAAAATTACACACTTTAAAAATAGAGGATACATTAAATGATTCTTATGATACTTCTAAATAATTGAATGTAGTTTAAGTAAAATGTGGAAGACTTTGCTTCTAACCAACACAGAATGTCAAATTCACTACATGTTTTCAAAACACTACATATTAGGTAACAAGTGACAGTGAACTTAGAAGTGTGAAAACCAAATAAGATGAATACTATAATTTCTCAGGATTCTACTTTAAGAGAGCTTATAGCTCACAACACAGAGAGGAAATGAGAGGGAGTCTGGTAGACTTCTTGACTTAAAAGGATGGAGATAAAAATCCGGAAAGAACAAGGGCAGGGACCTATTTCAAGGTACACAGGACAAGAGAGCTAAAGAGAAAAATAAACCTGGATGCCTGCAGAAAATTCTTAAATATTCATTAGAGAATAAGATTGCTGGCTTTAAAACAGTGATTGAAGCCAAGCAGAAGAATTTCAAAGGAAACAAGGAAGAATCAGGAAATGTGCACTAGTCATAGATATATTCCCTATCTCGATTATGATGTAAGCATATTTTAATTTATCAAATTAGAGGCTTCAGATATTTGAGTTTGTGTCAATTAATATATCTCAAAAATCTGTTTTTAAAAATTTGAATAACTTATCAGATAAAGTCTATAGAGCAAATTAATAAGTAGATTAATGATCAGCCAAAAGCATAGCAATATATCTTAGTATTTCTTATTTTAGTAGGCTTGTTCACTTGGGCAATAATTATAAGTCAGCTAAGTAATAAGGGTTTCTTTTGTATGTGTTTTCTAATGAAAGCCATTGAAACCTCTGGAATTAGTTTAAGAATGTTTGCAAAAGAAATTCCCTTATCTTAAATCAATAGAACAATTAATTTGTCTTGAAATTATTTAATAAGATTAATTCTTGCTCTATAACTTTATTGAGGGTCACTAGACCTTTGGGGTTAAAGTCATTTTTCCTCTAAAATCAATATTTTATATTATTATTGACAAGAAAGTTTTCAACTGTTTTTAAACTTCTAATGGCTTTCATTTCTAGAAATAAGACTAATAAAAAAATCATTTTCAGGAGATATTCTCAAAAGCTGCAGGATCTTGCAGACCTCACCTTATTTTAACAAGAATTCTATATAAATTGAATTAATGTTTAAGTGTAATTTTAATTTAAAATGTGCAAAAGGAATAAATTTAGAACACATTGTTCATTATGTTTGTTATTTGTGGCACATTTTCAAATATTGTAAAATATCAGGTCAAACTCTGACACAAGTCTTATATAAGAAGATACATCTTCTTATATTTATATAGTAGAAATACTATAGCTAAAGTAACACTACAGACCACTCTTAGTAAGAAACCAAAACACAACTGTGAAGTTACCTGGTTCCTGATAAGTCAATACCAACAAAGAGGTGTAATTTCAAATGTGTGTCTCTTGAGAATGAGTTACATGATTTAAATCAATAATAAATATACTTGAGGACTTACTTGAATATGATCAACATTTTTCCTGTTATGTTACTTAAGACCCCAATAAATGTGGCAAATATTATTAATCTCACTTATGGATGAGCTTTCAAAACTTGTAGGACCACACAACTGATAAATGGCAGAGCTCAGATATACACAGAGGTCATGTTTTAGAATGAATTTGATCTTTCCCCAGGCTAACAAAATGCAATGAGACTATTCTCCTAAGATGCTGGGCAGTCTCATCGAGCTGCACTTCCAGTCAGCAACATGGTCATAGGAGTCAACAGGTGATGCTAGATGCTCAGTACTAAATGAACAAGGCATGCATACAAGACATTAAGCAAGTAATTTCTCTGTTGTATTCTCAGCCTTCTCATCCGTGTATGGCAGGATGGAATGGTCAACGTCTGACACAGCATATCCAATAAAAGAAATACACTATTGTTTTTCCTGAATTGTTTGAAGAGAGAAAAATGTTATGCTTTATTCTTCTCAAGTACACTAACACATCCTTAGTTTCCCTTATGCTGCCAACATCTATAGTCACCCTAATTCCTTGCACAAAAATGAACAGCATTTGATTATAGCTTATACACACCTTCCCATATACTTTAAATCGTCTCTAGCTAACATACAATGTCAAATATAAAGTATATTCTATTTAAATAGCTCTTGTAAAATATTATTTAAGTAAAAATTGCAAAGAAATCTCTATAAGTAATCAGTGGAAATTTAGTTTTTGTTGAATACTGCCTATCTTTCTTTGGTTGAATTTACGAATCGAAAACAAAGGACTGAGTGAAATTTTCTATTGAACAGAATCTGGGATTCATCTCCATGCCATAGTATAGGACTATATATACAGTAATTAATACATTTTTAAAAATCACTAAGTTAAACATTTCAATTTTTAGTAGCAGGAAAAAGATGCACTGACTCAAAGACATGATTTACTATGTAACAGGTCATTAGCTGAAGTGTCTGGGCCCTAAACAACTCCATATAGTTCAAGCAATTTCTCCATGTTTCTTTTCTCATGGCTCTTTAGGACTATCCCTCCCACTTCATTCTGAAAGTGACTGAGACATTTGATGATTTCAATGTCTATTCCTCTGTTTTTCTTTTTTGTTTTTGTTTGTTTAGGGGAGAGCACAAACACAGTCCACTACTACAAGTTATGCACTCTAGTTTCTGCATTTGGGGAAACGTAGGAGTCAGCACATGCCAAGTGTAATGGATAAGCCTTGCCCTGGGAAAACCACCTTGGTGATCATGGGATCTCCCCTGCCAGGTAAGTATTCAGTATCCCTTCTTAATACAGCATGCTGCATTAAAATGGAACTGCTTTGTTTCTTTTTAAAACACAAAATCCTCAGCCATTGTGTGTTCAAGATAGCTCCCCTTCCTCAGTCAGATTCTGATTGTGTTTCTGCTGGCCTGTCCAGCATTCCTAGCTATCAAGTGTTTTGCTATGAACTTTTAAAACTACTTTTCTTTGTAGTCCATCTGGAGTGGTTTATGCTGATTTCCTTAAAGTTCACTAGTTCTTTTCTTGGTTGCAAGGAGTCTGCTGATGAGCCTATTAAAACTATTATTCAGTCTTATTACCTTAGTCCTATTACCTTGTGTGAGTTTTTCTTTCTAGCATTTCCTTTTGACTGTTTATTACAGTTTTTCTTCTCTGCTAAACACTTCCCATCTGTTTCATAAATGCAATCTACCATTTCTAATCAAGACTTAGAAATATTAATTGTAGTTATTTTTAATTTCCTGTCTGATGGTTTAAACATCTGAGTCCTCTTTGTGCCTGGGGCTGTTGGTTTATTTATCTCTTGACAGAGGTCCCATGTTGCCTTGGTTCATGTGCGCATCTCATAACGCTGAAGTGATTTCTAGACATATGTTCAGGATGGAGTACTCAGTAGTATACAGAACAGAAACGAGCATGTCTGTTCATTCCTAGGATTTTATTGTGATAAGGTAAGTTTTTCAGATAAAGAATCAAGTTAAATTGGGTTTTGTTATTGCTTTTTTTGTGTGTGTGGTTTTTCGAGACAGGGTTTCTCTGTGG